TGGTTGAGTCACCATCCCTGGAAGTATTTAAAAGACGTGTAGATGAGGTGCTTAGGGACATGGTTTAGTGGGCATGGTGGTGTTGGGTTGACGGTTGGACTCGATGATCTTGGAGGTCTCTTCCAAACTTAATGATTCTATGATTCTATGATTCTATGAAACACAAGTCGAATAAAGCTTCTGATAGTAGAGAAGATAGTTTACATAACTGTTTGATGCTGATTATATTCTTCCAATTTTTAGATTAATTTAATAGGCCCTAATTCAGATCTTCCTTCAGTAGCTGCACACCTTCAAGCATTTTGGCATGGTGGTTGTCACACAAGTATATAAATGCTTTCCTAAATCAAGATTATAATTTAATTTCATATTGATCAACAAATCATGTAGGTTGGACCTCCAGGGGTCATCTAGTCCAAACGCCTACTCAAAATAGGTCCAGCTGCAGCAGGTTACTTAGGGGTCTGTCCACTGAAGTTCTGAGTATCTCCAAGTATAGAGACACCACGGCCTCTCTGGACAGCCTGTTTTAGTGTTTGATGACCCTTGAGTTGAGCCAAAAAGTTTCGTGTGTTCCTACATTTGTCCTTTGCCTCTCATCCTTTCACTGCACATCTCTGAGAAGAGCCTGGCATCATCTTCTCTATGTACTAGGTAAACACTTGCTAATCTGGCCTGGGATGAAGTTGACCACCTTCGCTGCAAGAGATCACTGCTGATTCATATTCAGCACCAGGACCCCCAGGTATTTTTCTGCAAAGCTGCTTTCTAGCCAGTTTAGCACCAGCCTGTTCTGTTGCAGAGGATTACTCCATTCCAGATGCAGGACTTTGCATTTGTCCTTGTTGAACTTCATGAGGTTCCTATCAGCCCATTTTTCCTGCTTGCAGCATCTTATATGATCTTATATATAAGAATGTATTCATTAAATACACTTGACAAGGGGAAGAAGTTTGATGGTGTAAAACTGCAGGATAAGAGTTCATGGATGTGTCTTCTACACTTTCATCAGGATTTCTTATGCCAACAACAACAAAAATTCTGCTTTGTGATTAATGAGATGTCAGTGTTTGCTTCTATTCTGATCTTGTTCAGATCACAAAGATTAAAAAAAAAGAAATCACTCCAGAAAATGCAATATCCTAGGACAAAGGATACCCAAACTTAAGTCCAAGCTTAGAAACAAAATTTCCTGGAGAATTTATTCTAGCACGGTTTGTTACAACAATGCTGGTACATTCCTTTGAAGAATCTCATAACTAGCTGTCATCAGATCCAGAACAAACAATTAGCTAGACTACAATTTTGATTTAATAGGGCAGAAACAATGTTCCTAACAGAAAAACAACACAAAATGACAAAAAAAACCCCAACTGAGCATCTTGATACCACTCATGTACTAAGCTGTATTTGCAACCTTTCCTAAACTTTTAAAAGTAATTCTCTTCAGATGTTAGGTTTATTTTGGTGAAGGACATGTAGCAATTTCTATAACACAGATGTAATATATAAAATCTATACTGAAAACAAAGATGAGAAAGATTAGACTTGAGCAAATCTGACTAAAAAAAACTTGAACCAGAACAACGTACACAAGAGACGAGCATAGAGCCTTAGAGACAGCATTATCATTTATAATATCCCACCGGCATGCATTTACTGCATTTAAACACACTGGTAGTTAGTTCAGTCTAGCAATGGAAAGTAATTAAGACCAAAGTCCAAAAAAGTATCTAAAAGTCCTCTGTGAAGGAACAGTTCTAACATCTATCTGAAGTTAATCAAAGAAGAAATCATCTCAGCACTGATGAAGAGTGAGGAGGAATGAATGATTCAGTGAACTAATGTAAATCAAAATCTTATAGCTGCCTTAGTGTTTTTCAAATGGAAATGAGGCTTTTTATATCAAATTGATTTGGATTCCAGAGGCAAACTGCTTGCCCTGTTTCTCTGAAAAAAATTGACTGAAATGTATGAAAAATAGAGTAACTTTACAACAGGGAAGGAAATCAGAAACTGGCCTGCATGCGTAGGAAATCAGAATAAAATTCCAATCACTCATATCATACTTTTCCAAATGAGGTGTGTATCACTGAAAGTCAGGTCTAAACATCAACATTACAACTGCAGTTCACAAGAGCTACAAGGAATCCTGCATCCTTGAAATAAGGCAATAATGAATATCTGGTATTTTCAAGGATTATAATCATTCATTTTGCCTTTACACATACAGTTTATTTAAGTAGTTAGAAATACTACATAACTCACCAGTCAATAAGGAAAGAACCATTTATAAGCTTATCTGTTCTGAAACTTGGTGAATATAATTTGTTACTGTTGTCATTGCCTAAAACACTAGAAATACCTTCTTTCAAATGAACCACTACAATCAACTTAATCCAGATTATTATCCCATTACTGGGTAGTTAAGTCAAAGAGATGTTAGAAATTAAAGTATATGATTAAAATTACATATCTTTGGAATTTGTTCTATCATTTTTTAAAAAGATATTTTCCCCACAGTAGTCCCTTCGAATGACTCAGGCACATAAAATCTATTCTACTGCTATAAATCCCATTAACAGCAGTAGCCATTCCGTTTAGAATTTGTAAGCAATACAGTCAAAATTAAATCCCCTTGGATTAGTAAGATTCAGTTATATATGAGACTAGTAACGAGAAGGCTGCTGCAATGAGACTGAAAATAAAAAAAGACCAGAAGTCTGACTAAATTAACGACTTAGTATATTAACCTCATGTACTACTACTACATCAGATATATAAAGCTCTTTTCCCCATTACAAAACCTGAATATTCTTGAAACATCAATATGCCGTAACTGTGTCACGTTTTACATTCCCAAATTACAACAGCTCCTTTCCAGCCATCACTGAATTTAAATAATTCTCGTATGACAAATGTTGAGAAAAATAAATTCTTAGAGCATAGAAAAGAATCTTCTTTTCATGCGAACAATATTCACAAATTTCCTTGGCCACTTTCCCAGTTCATCTGAACAGGACTTCTGCTCTCCAGATATTCACATACAACGTACTTCTTACTTTTACGTATGAGAAAACCCTCCTAGACAAGAACTTCTTGTAATTTTTGTAAGGATTTCTTTTGTAGTCTTGCAAAAAAATATTGCACCTTTGCAGGAGTTAAACATTTACAAATAAATTAAGTGGCAAAAATAAAATTGCATCTCTTCAGTTGACAAAGTACTATTTTAGGCCTAATCCTTCATTTATACACACACAGAGGTGCCCTATTATGTACAGCCCCAATGAATGCTACTGTATGAATGCTGATAACATACATAAAGGAGAGAAGAAATATATCTGACAGAAGTACTTTAGTTTGTGAAGGAGACATGAGGAGAGACAGCATCCAGAAAATTAGTTGTTAAGGTCACAACAATCAAATCCCAAATCAAATTCACAACTGCATCAAAGCAACACAGGTTCAGTCTCAAGGTTTCATACCAGAATTTAATTTTCTATACTCTAATTAAAGTCCTATTCAGGAAAAAAAAAAAAATTCACTTAATTAACTTTAAGCACAAACTTAAAACCAACCCAACTGAGAATGAGGTACAAGCCTATGTTTAAATTACCCATATGTATAAATGTTACTGAAGTCAGCCTTAAGAGGCTCTTCAAACGCTTTAATGAATGATCATGACAGAGCATAAAAAATACACGCATCATTCTGTTCATCTGTGCCGTATCCAACGACAGAAGTTACATGTGATCATGAAGTTAAAGATAGCTCAGTTTTCTTAAATATCTCCAACTACCCTTAATTGCTTAGATTTTTTTTTCAGTGAGGACACGTTTCAACAATTCTAACTTTGATCTATAGATTTTATCTATATTTTCAGAAGAAAGAATAAGGCTAACGAGATCCAAAGTTATCTGTACTCAATAAAGATAGGGCTATAATGCACCCTTATGTGACCTTTACCTGTTTCTACATCTGTTAAATGCAACATGGAATCAAAGCCCCCACTGAGGATCCTTCTTCCACAAGACGACCACCGGGCAGCTCGAACAGCACAGGAGTGACAGGAATATGTTTTTAAACAGCAACCTGTATCCACAGCATCCCATACCTTAAAAAGAAGGATAAGGACAACTTTATAAAGAATCACAATATTTTTTTCAATGTACTGATAAGTAGCTACAGCAAATCATCGTGGCTGAGAAAGCTTTGCATTCCAAAGTTGTATTTGCTAAGCTGTAAAATTCTGTTTGAAATAATTGCATAGTTGATTAGAATTAGGGCATTTAATTAACAAGGCACAAATCAGTAACACATTTTTATGACTTGTATGATTTCTTGAAATGTCTACATTGCTCTCAATGGCAATTCATGTTATACTTTTCAATTCATAATGCTGTCCTATCTCTGTGCAGGGATGTATCCAAATACATTTTCCCTTTAAATCATTTTTCTTCCAAAGTTTTGTCTGTATCATATCTTTCCATCGAGTAAGAGGAATCCTAGCAGATTACAGCTTTCACATCTGCCTATAGATAGGCTATTATCATATTTCTCAGTTTGTAATTTTAAGTAGAATTTTACCTTAGCTTCACTGAGGAGGCAGATAAGAATATCATCGTGCATCTACATGGAGATTTCTAAGGACTGGTCTAAGTCCTCTTCTTTTTCAGTTTCTTCTGGACAGAATTAGGTTGATGCTGAGCACTTCTGAAAATCCTATTCTACTAGTTATCCAAATTTTTTTAAGTATATAACAGCTAATATTTTCAGAACATAAATAGTTCTGCTCATATTTTTAAAACAAATTTTAAAGAGAAAGGCAGTTGTTTCCAAATAATATATTTTAGAAAATAGAACTAGTCTGAATTATAATTCAGTTAGTAAATATAGTTCACAATAATCAAAATCACATCCTTTTCATGGTGCTCTTTTTGTCCTAGTTTTAAGACAAAATTAGAAGTTTAGCAACAAATGACCCATATAAAGGTCCAGTATGCTCACTTCCGTGAGAGAAGGCTAAATATCAAAACTATTTTCCCTATGACTATTCTGCTTCAGTAAAAGCTAGATTATAAAATATCTTATGATTGTACGATACTATATAATACCTGTTGAATTGTCTAATAAAATGGCTACCAAATGCTATAACCATACCAGTAAATCCTACATTTTATTACCTCTAAAATTAGTAGTACAAATAAATCACACTTTGACAGTGCTTCATGATAGTTTTATTGCAGTTTCAGTAAACCCAAGGCAGTTTATTGCTTTAAAGTCACCATTTTACTTCACGGTACTTGTCTTTGCAATTAGTCATTTTCATCCTGCAAAAACCTGCAGGATGAAAACAGCACTGCCTATGAGCTTAGAAGGTTATTTTGAATTTTGTCTATTCTAATCAATTTCTCAATTCTAAGAGTGCTTATATAATGCTGGGAACAGAGTAGACAATTAACAGAATACAAAAAAAACCCCTTTTTTTAAAGTGAGATCAAATTCAACCTTCATGTATGTTGACACAAGAGCACTGAAGTTAGTACCAAAATAAAACTGACTGCATGTTTGTGTATTTTAAAGGATGTTAAAAACAAAAACAACTCAGTAAATCAGAAAACATAAGTAGATGTTTGCTTTCTTGTGGCAACAGCACAATTCACAATACAGGAGAATGTAAAGGGGCAGAAAAAAGCAAGACTTTTGGTAATGTATTTTTATCTTCAATTATATTTTCTTCTACTGGACAAAAAGGACTCACTGACAATATCATTGTTATATAGTCCATTCTCAGAAGACAACATTCCATTATAGAAAATTATTTCATCAAAGTATCTTCTAGCACGGAGCGTAGTTCTGCAATGCAAAGCAACCAATTATCATTAATTACTTGAATAGTCAGTTAAGACTGGAACCGTGATGGCCATGCCCTAAGTATTCTACCCTGTCCACAAGAAAAGAAATCAGGAAAATTTTAATATTAAACTGCTTTTGAAAGTAAGTTTCTCTGCTTTAATGAGTTTTAATGATCATTTCAAGCTTCACAGTATTAAAAAAGGGTTAATTGTATCTTGGAGGGCTTTTAATATGAAGAAGCTAATGAATGAATCAAGATGAAAGTAAAACCAGGTGGTACATGCTTCAGATATTTTTCTCTCATGTGTTAGTGGTTAAGTATGAAAACTCAATTTTCACAAGAAGGATGAAGTAAAGCAAGTTCAACAGCACTTCCGAGTTCCCGCCTGATTAAAAAAAAGCTGTATAAATAGAAAAAGCGCACCCCTAAAGCTGCACATTTCCCTCCATTATGTGAAACGGAACAAAAGATCGACTCTTGTGGATGAGACCGCTGACCATGCACAAGGGACAAGTTACCGAATACCACAACTCTCTCCACTGTTACGCTTTCCATCAACTCTTTTTGCTCAGGTAATGGTGGTGCTGCGATGCCTCCTGGAATTAGAGCCGCGTGGGCAAGGCAGTCTTGACTGAGGAAATTCACTTAGTTTATTGCCAATTAACGTAAACTCTTAATTACAGATTCAAGTATTGAGGAAAAAAGATCAAGAGTTAAATGAGCACTTAGGGGAGCTCCTTCCCTCCCCAGGCCCCACTTCAGTCCAGCACTTCTCCTCCCCTATTCCTACCCCAGCTTCCTCTGTTTTCACCAGGCGTTACGCTTGGTCCCTTCCACATCCCTTTGGTGAGACAACAGCCATCGCAGGAGGCTGGGGCCAGGGCCCAGAGGTTTCTTGTTGCCTCCCCTTGCGTCTTACTCTTTTCGTCCCCTGCTCTTTGCTTCTTACTGCTTCTCTGCTCCTTCTCTCCAGACATACATCTCTTCCCCTATCTCCTCCCATCACCTTATGTGTGTCCTCACACACATCCTCATGTTTCCCCATATGTGTCCTTGTGTCCTCTGCCCTCAGCAGCTGCTCCTTTTCTTCAGTATGCATGAACAGAAGCACCACATGCTCCTCTGAAGTTCTGGCCCACGGTGAGTTGTTTTCATCCATTTCAGAGTGAGCTGAAACCAGCTGTAGCAGCGCAGGGCAGCTCACGACCTCCTCCCACACAGGGGAACCCTGCAGCCCCTGCTACCAAACCCCACAGTTTATGCCCCATACAAGCAGCCAGTTCAGACAGAAAGTTAGGACAGACCACCATCAAGATATGGTCCAATGCAAATTCACTGGAGCCCACGAATGTGCTTTTAATAATGTTGAGAGGTGCCACTTCTGCTGTGGCTTCACAGCTTAACGGATAGAGAAGTCAAACAAGGCAAGCAGAAGAGGATGTCAGACCCTGCCCTGCTGTGCAGTGGCAATGCTCTGCAAGCTTCATCTGGGCGCATTCAGTCCTAGGTACAGTTCCATATGACCTGCCTGGGATTTTCCTTCAAGTCTCACATCTGCTGAATTTAGCTCAGTGTAACTTTGATACATTAGTGTGCGCCCTGTTGCGAGGAGGATACTGTGCAGTGCATCCCCAGAAAAATTTCAGAGTTTCAATATTCATCTTCCACAGGAAAAGGGAAGCTCTACTTGCTATTTGCAAGAAGTGGTATTTGATATTTACAGTTAGCTCTTCAGCAATCACTTAAGAGATGCAGCCATGCCCACAGAAAGTCATATAAAGGTGTGCCATTGCATATCAAGAAACAGAAATGGGTGTGCAGTACCCAAACCAAGGCAACTAAAGGACAAGCTATGCACCTTCTGCACAAGTCAGAAATTATGAAAAAGTGGGAGCTATGAATGCTCAGCTGTAACAGAATGTGTCTGTCCCAAGCTACAAACACTGTTCTGTCTGTAGAAGTGACAGAGATGTTAACTGTGTTACACCCACAAAATGGAGAATCTACTGGGTTTTGTTACCAAGGAAAGATGCTTCAAATCCCATCACAGCATCATCACAAAGCCACCATCAAGTCTACATTTTCTTAGAGAGTCTGTTCAAGTAGTTTCCCATTCCTGTGGTATGGCATTTCTCCTGCTTAATCATAATAAGGGGAAAATGTGGCTAGAGGGAGAGTTCCAACATACTCCAAAGCTTCAGATGAATTCTACTCAGTAGCTGGTGCTCACTCTATAGGCAGCCGCTGTCATTAAAAAAAGGAGAAAGGGGGTTGCAAAGGAATGAGTCCTTTGCATGTGAGTTTGCCTCTCTCTGCCAAACACTCAGATGCCAGATTAACAGATTCTCCAGGATGAAAGGCATTTCAGGGTTTTTCTTTCAACTGAGATAGTCAAGTGCTTCAAGAACAACTTGTGTGGAAATTATTTTTTTTCAGTCTTTCTTTCTTCACTTTTTCCATATGCTGGATATGCTGGCTCAAACCAGGATGGAACAATAAGCCTGAAAGACTGCATGGGCATAACCTGCAGAGTTGATGAAATAACCCGTATCCTCAAAGAGCATCCAACATGATGCCTGAACCCAGAAGCATGTTCTCTACATTACCAAGGTAAATAATAAACAAACAGACACTAATCAACTGGTTTAGAGCATGGCAATTCTGCAAAGAATATAGAACTAGGTTACAATATAGCCACCGGACTTCAGCCTCAAAAGAAAATTTTTTCAGGGCCTGGTACAAACCAGGGGACAAGAGAGTCCCCTAGGAATTAGGACAATTAAAACCTTCCTGTTTCAAGTGAGTGAAGTTGTTGATCATGCCTTCTCTGCCAAAAAGTAACATGAATTACAGACTATTACAGAAGAGGATCCCGAACTCATTCTTCTGAATGGCATCTACATATGAGCTCAGAAAAAGGATTTGTATCCAAGAACAGCCTAAGGCTGAAGGCAAAGGCCGCAACAATATAATTTTAAAAGTCACAGTTCTAACAACTACAGCTTTAATTTTAAAGTAAGTGTTTTTAAGAAATTAAGTGTCTTAGAACTATTTAGAAAGTTGTCTTTTAAATACCAAAGGCTGCTAACTTTAAGCATACCTAATAATAAATACCTTTAAAATAAAAGTTTATAAAATAAACTCATAGATCTACATGGAATAAAGGTTTACATATTTAGTACATAATAAATTACTTGGGCAGGGGGAACAGGTCAATAAAAAATACACAGGCTGAGATATATATCTTCTTTCACAGG